TCTGCCACAGACCCCTGAAATCTCTCCTCCCAGGAATGAGTTTTTCCTTGGAATGCCCACAGTCTGCTCTGCTGACCCCACAGAACCCCAAAATATCCCATCCCAGGATTGGGGTTTTCCTTGGAAAAGCCACAATCTGCTCTGTTGACCTCACAGAACCTCAAAATATCCCATCCCAGGACTGGGTTTTTCCTTGGATTCCCATCCCAGGGTTGGGTTTTTCATTAGAACTCCCCCAGTCTGCCACAGACCCCTGAAATCTCTCTTCCCAAGAATGAGTTTTTCCTTGGAATGCCCACAGTCTGCTCTGTTGACCCCACAGAACCCCAAAATATCCCATCCCGGGATTGGGTTTTTCCTTGGAAAAGCCCCAGTCTGCTCCGTTGACCTCACTAAATGCCAAAATATCCCATCCCAGGATTGAGTTTTTCCTTGGAATCCCCACAATCTGCTCTGTTGACCCCAACAAATCCCAAAATATCCCACCCCAGGATTGGATTTTTCCTCAGAAACCCCACCATCTGCTCTGTTGACCCCACCAAACACCCCAAAATTTCCCATCCCAAGATTGGGTTTTTTCTTGGATTCCCCTCCCAGGATTGGGTTTTTCCTTGGATTCCCATCCCAGGATTGGGCTTTTCCTTGGAACCCCCCCAGTCTGCCACAGACCCCTGAAATCTCTCCTCCCAAGAATGAGTTTGTCCTTGGAATCGCCACAAGCTGCTCTGTTGGTGCCACCAAACCCCAATATTTCCCATCCCAGGATTGGGTTTTTCCTCGGAAACGCCCCCACCTGCTCTGTTGATCCCCCCCAGAGCTCCCAAATTTCTTCTTCCAGGAGCAGCTCCGAGACCAAGGCCCTGTTTGAGAGGCACCGGCCCACCCACGTCATCCACTTGGCCGCCATGGTCGGGGGCCTCTTCAAGAACATCCGCTCCAACCTGGATTTCTGGGTGAGCCCCTGGAAAACCGGCACCATCAGGATCCCCGGGATGGGGGATATGGGGACACAGGGATAGGGGGGCTCGTTCTGCTTCCAGAGCCAAGAGCTCCGGTGGCTCCGGGAGTTGTTAACAAGCCGGCGCTTGCCCAGTGACGAAGGGATTTGGGGAATCTCCATCCCACAATCCCGATAAATCTCTCCTTTCCCCAGAGGACAAACATCCACATCAATGACAACGTCCTGCACTCGGCCCACGAGATGGGGGTGGAGAAGGTGGTCTCCTGCCTCTCCACCTGCATCTTCCCAGACAAGACCACGTATCCCATCGACGAGACCATGGTGAGCGCTCCCGTCCCCGCACGACATTCCAGGGAACGTCCCTTCCCCGCTTAACGCTCCGCTCCCGTATTCCCAGATCCACAACGGGCCCCCTCACAGCTCCAACTTCGGCTACTCCTACGCCAAGAGGATGATTGACATCCAGAACAGGTGAGGGAGGGACACGCGGGAGCCCCTTCCCAGGGTGGAAGCACCCCTTGGTTATCAAGGCAACGGGAATCCCGTGGGATTCCCGGGATTTAAACGGCGCAGGGGCGGAAGCTGGGGAGAGATACCTGGGATCGGTGCTGCTGGCTGGGGTCTTGTGGGGCCATTCCAGTAGCTGATATCCCGCCCCTGCTACCATCCAGGGGTTATTCCGAGCAGCACGGCCGGCGCTTCACCGCCGTCATTCCCACCAACGTCTTCGGGCCGCACGACAACTTCAACATCGAGGACGGCCACGTCCTGCCGGGGCTCATCCACAAGGTCCACCTGGCCAAACGTGAGGGTGGCAGCGCTCCTGGGGGGGTTTTTTTTTTGGGAAGGGTTTTCCAACTCTCCACCTGCTCCGCGAGGTGGTGACGGCTGCACTCCTTCCTCCCGCAGAGTCCGGCTCCGCTCTGACCGTGTGGGGAACGGGAAAGCCCAGGAGGCAGTTCATCTACTCCCTGGTGGGTGGGGCCTTGGGAAGCAGGGAATGGGGCTGGAAAGGCTGGAATGGGATCCAGAGGGGTCTGAGCCTGCCTGGCTTGTCCTGGGCCATCCTCGGGGTTGGTTCCCTTGGGATGGGAGGGCAAAGTCAGGAGACAGTTCCTCATCTACTCCCTGGTGGGTGGGGCCTTGGGAAGCAGGGAATGGGGCTGGAAAGACTGGTGGTGGGACCCCAGAGGGGTCTGAGTCCTCCTGGTTTGTCCTGGGCCATCCTCAGGGTTGGGTTCCCTTGGGATGGGAGGGCAAAGCCAGGAGACAGTTCATCATCTACTCCCTGGGGTGTGTGGCTTTGGGAAGCAGGGAATGGGGGTGGAAAGGCTGGAATGGGACCCAGAGGGGTCTGAGCCTGCCTGGGCCATCCTTGCGGTTGGATTTGCTTGGGATGGGAAGGCAAACCCAAAAGTGCGTCTACCCCTGGGGTTTGTGGCCTTGGAAAGCAGGGAATGGGGCTGGAATGGGATCCAGAGGGGTCTGAGTCCTCCTGGTTTGTCCTGGGCCATCCTCGGGATTGGTTTCCCTTGGGATGGGAGGGCAAAGGCAGGAGACAGTTCATCTACTATTCCCTAGTTTGGGAAGCAGGGAATGGGGCTGGAAGGACAAAGCCAGGAGACAGTTCCTCATCTACTCCCTGGGGTGTGGGGCCTTGGGAAGCAGGGAATGGGGCTGGAAAGACTGGTGGTGGGACCCCAGAGGGGTCTGAGTCCTCCTGGTTTGTCCTGGGCCATCCTCGGGGTTGGTTTCCCTTGGGATGGGAGGGCAAAGCCAGGAGACAGTTCATCATCTACTTCCTGGGGTGTGTGGCTTTGGGAAGCAGGGAATGGGGGTGGAAAGGCTGGAATGGGATCCAGAGGGGTCTGAGCCCACCTGGTTTGTCCTGGGTTGGGTTCCTTGGGAATGGGAACGCTGGGAACAGCAGTGACCCCCCCAAGGGTTGTCTGCTCTTCCCCCCAGGACCTGGCCCGGCTCTTCCTTTGGGTCCTGCGGGAATACGACGAGGTGGAGCCCATCATTTTGTCAGGTGAACCTTCCCCCCCCAGACCTCCTCCTGTCCATCCCCTCTCCACGAGGGAACAGCCACCATCCTGTCCTTCCCCGCAGTGGGAGAAGAAGACGAGGTGTCCATCCGGGAGGCGGCGGAGGCCGTGGCAGAGGCCATGGATTTCCGGGGAGAGCTCCTCGTATCCTTCACCCGAGAGGGCTCCGGGGGGGAATCCCACGCTCCACCAGGACATGGTGGGGGCAAAGCAACGCCCGTTTTCCCTCCTTAATCCCTGCCATCCCAGTTTGACCCCAGCAAGGCCGACGGGCAGTTCAAGAAGACGGCCAGCAACGCCAAACTCCGGCGGTACCTGCCCGGCTTCCAGTTCACTCCCTTCAGGAAAGGTGAGGTGGGGACATGGAGGTCCTGCCTCTGCCAGCCTTGGGGGCATCAGGGTGGTCCATCCTTCGGGATGAGGGTGGTGGAACACTGGCACGGGGTGTCCAGGGACGTTGGTGGTTTCTCCGTCCCTGGGAAGTGTCCAAGGTCAGGTTGGATGGGGCTTGGAGCAAGCTGGGATAGTGGGAGGTGTCTCCTTGCACAGTGGTTGGATGAGATGACCTGAAAGAGTCCCTTCCAATCCAGCCCATTCCATGATTCTGTGAAGAAAATCCGTTCCCAAATCCCCAAACC